TGAGCTTATCAACAACGTGAATCAGGACTAATTTGGATTTCCATTATCAAATGTAAAATTTTTAACTTGGTAAATTAGCATATGATGAGTTATATTTGGAAATCCTACTCTGTATGGTGGCACAATGGAACTCATCAACACCATAAGTAGGAACTATTATAGTTTTGGATTTCCATTACTGTATGGTGAATGGTGATTTGGAAATAAAACTTTGTATGACTTATACACCCATGGAAATTATACTCTGTATGAAGTAAACACACAAGCTCATCAACAGGGGGGTGCAGATATAAACTGGAATGGCCCATTGAAGGATTTGATTTAAGGACTCACTCCCACTTTCCAGGTGTGAATCTTAATGTTGAAAATGGAATTTGAAATTAACAATGAAATGTGCTGAAAATTAATACTAATTTATAACTTTTTTTTAACCAGGCAATTATGATAAAAGAAATCAAAATCATCCCAAGATGCCTAAACTTGTGAATCCTTCTTGGCCAGTAGTTTGCAGTTCAAGCCATGTGCCTGTGTCGCAAAGAAGGATGTCTAATCCTTCACTGAGAAATACGACAAGACACAAAAAGACATATGAATGTGGTTACCATAGTTACTACAATGTTCTTTTTGGAAACCGAAATATGGGTGGATTTGTGATTTTGTACAAGGAAGATATGGCAGTCTTAAGTTGGGTACAAAAACTGTTACGAATCACAATACCAGATTACACAGTGTAAGTACATTTAAAGTATTACTATACCAGATTACACAGTGTAAGTACATTTAAAGTATTACTTAAGATTACACAGTGTAAGTACATTTAAAGTATTACTACACGATTACACAGTTTAAGTACATTTTAAGTATTACTGTATCAGATTACACCGTGTAAGTACATTTAAAGTATTACTACACCAGATTACACAGTTTAAGTACATTTAAAGTATTACTACACCAGATTACAGAGTGTAAGTACATTTAAAGTATTACTTCACCAGATTACAGAGTGTAAGTACATTTAAAGTATTACTACACCAGATTACACAGTTTAAGTACATTTAAAGTATTACTATACCAGATTACACAGTGTAAGTACATTTAAAGTATTACTATACCAGATTACACAGTTTAAGTACATTTAAAGTATTACTACCAGATTACACAGTTTAAGTACATTTAATGTATTACTACACCAGATTACACAGTTTAAGTACATTTAAAGTATTACTACACCAGATTACACAGTGTAAGTACATTTAAAGTATTACTACACTAGATTACACAGTGTAAGTACATTTAAAGTTTTACTGCACTAGATTACACAGTGTAAGTACATTTAAAGTATTACTACACTAGATTACACAGTGTAAGTACATTTAAAGTATTACTACACTAGATTACACAGTGTAAGTGATGTATTATGAATGCATATATACTTTCATTTTATTATTCGTGGATGTGCCATTCCAAATGGAAATTGATTTGTCACAACCGAGACTGTTTTTTTTGTCTCCATATTCGATTCTGATTCCTGTTTTTGGTCAACTACATAGATTTGAAGACGGTATTATCTTATGTGCCATAGTTAATCAGTTATGTAATGGCGTAATATCACATGAGGTAGGAACTGCCAAACAAACTAATGTTGGGTGAAAGGTCATACTTATTGTTGTCTATCCTCTGGTGTTTCTGGGATTGAAGGCTTTTTTGTGGTGTCTTAGGGGGTACAGTGTTGTGGTGTCTTAGGGGGTACAGTGTTTATATGATATGAATGGAATAATTTAATATTTGCCTTTACTTTTTTTATTTTTATTTTGTTGTTTTTAATGTGTAAATGTTTTTTTATACTTAAGAATCGATCAATTTTATCAACTATACTGACAATTTTTGTATCCTCTCCTGAATTATGCTATCTTTTGTCACGAGTTATTTATTTTGAGGTGTAAGCAAATTTGTTTTGAAATTTACATGCTGTTATTTTGTTATATTTCCACGATTCAAAACACAGCAAGTCTTGTATAATATTGAAGAGTAAAAAATTTCCTATTTTTAAATTTTTGTGAATACTTCGTTGCTTTCTTAGATGGGAATACATGAAAAATTGTCCCATATTTGCACCATATTTTGTGATATTTTTTATGTTTTGAAAATGTAATTATAGTAAATGTACACATTTATTTTTAGGCAATTGTGTGCAAAATTTGTCAAATGAACAAGTTTTTAAGATAGGATAAATGAAATTCACATACATCAATGTAGTCGCCATATTGATTTTTTACCCTAACCCGTGGGAAGTCCAAATAGTTTAATACCGGTACATGTGAGTGACCTATTGTGCAATGCCCCGAAGCAACTTCACAGAGCATTGGCAGAACTCTGAAAATATCTGAAAACAACAATTAGATAAATCTTTTTTAATCAAAGAAAATAAAATGCATCTATAAAAATGTCATAAACTGCATGTTTGATTTCTTGTCAAGTTTTCTTTTCTTTTTCCAGGTGTCTTAGATTTGATTGTGAATAATGCTGTGACCCATGACCTCTGACCTATAACCCATATCTTTGCTTGCAAAAGGGGTTTTGTTTCTTCTAGTTGAGTGCATTTTGTTTTTTTGAGAATTTTTGGTGATCGGTGAAATAACAAACACAAAAAGTTTGATAGTTATAGATTCAATATTTTCTATATTTGAAATTTCTGTTTCAATCTCAGGAAATCCTGTTCCATACTCCGGAGGAAAGACTGGAAATCGCCGTAGAAACAGCACAGTATCATCTTGGGGTTCCTCCACAACTTGATATTGATGCTGTTTTACGTGGTAAAGGACAAACTGATTTATTGAGTTATCTGCAAGTTTTAAAAACTGTTAACTCCTACTCTACACAGGTAAATAAAAATTAAAATTTTAATCAAATAAATAAAATGATAACTTTGTAAATCTAGTGTCAATTCTAATTGTTTGTACATCTAACAAATTACAGAAAATTATTGATGAGAAAATAGAGAAAAATAAAAAGATGAAAGAAGAAAAACTGAAAGAAAAGATGGAGAGACTTAAAGATGAACTTTTTGAAAATAATGAGAAGAAAATGGTTGGAGATTTCTTTGATTCTTTGGAGACAGAACTAAAAGACATACATGATAGAAGACGTCAAAAAGATTCCGAATTGATCGAACAAATGAAGGAAGAAGAGTTGAAATCAAGAGATAGGTTAGTTTACCTGCAGTGCGCCCTCTGAGCCAATTAACACCTCACTGACACACAGAAATATCTTTTTACCCAACTAATTACCCTCATTCCCTGACATGTCATTGACTCAATGGAAAATCACGCATTAACATACTCATGTCTTAAAAATCATCTTACTACAGTTTTGAAATTTGTAATTTGGTTAAGGCCAGACTTTTTTTAGTCCTTCTTTCTCGAGTTTTTATAAAGCAATTTTTTTGAGGAGGGCGGGAAAAAAAATTAAATTTAATTCTTTTTTCCCATTAGATTTGTGTGATTCTCAAAGAATTGTAAGTGAGATCATTGATAGGAGAGAAGAAATGAAATACAATTTTATTCCATGTATAACCTTGTTTCTTATCTGCGCAAGACTTCGGTACTTTGATCATGATACTCCCACAAAAATGCAACTTGGATTTGTTATGCGGCGGGCGGTAAAAAAATGTTCATTCGGCGGGTTCGCGAAACAAGGGATAATAAAAGTCTGGCCTAAACAAACATAAAATTCAAATTCACAACATTTTAACATGTGCATGTAGAAGTACAGAGATTACAGACCAGATTAGTTCTGAAAAACTATATCAGTAATCCCCACCAAAAAAAGGAAAGTACTCTAAGTAGAATTTGTTTATATATATATTTACTACCTGTACAATTTCTACATTTATTGTTTTAAAACTTTTTTTTTTTTTTGGTGAAATAAATTTCAATAATTCAAGAAGTCACCTACAGCAACAGTCAACAAGAAGCGGTCATAACTTATTTTACGGGAACCCTACAAATTAAATCCTGTT